GCGTTTGGGAAAGGAAACCGTTGCCGCGACTTCGAAAGCGAATATTTGTGCTCAATACATACGGTGATTTAAAGTTCAACAATCGATCAAGGGTTTCAACTTCATGTCATCATAGGCACAAAACATGAAACCTGGTCACGGGGTAGCGTTCTTTCAACAGATATGGTGCCTGGATGGTAGAATTTCCCCGTGCGCGAAGTTCGCGCACCCGATAACAAAGCGATCTGCCTCAGAAAGGTGCGACGCGACGACACCTCTTACCACCAGGTGAAGGACACACCAGAAGCTCGTCAGAAGTGCAGGTGCACGATGGCAGCCAGAGAAGGACCAAATGTGAGCTGTTCAGCAACTTTTCTTTCATGCCAGAAGGTGGGTACTGCGGGCCCGTCATACCATCAGATTTTAGCCGAACTCCGAATCTCAAACAACCTGCGTTTACCGGTCAGTGTTTGTCGTAAAAACGACAGACGCCAGCGACACCGGGAATGTCGATATTTCGACTACATTCGAACACCGGGTCATATTTCATGGAAGTAAAGTTCATCTGACCAGCCTCGTTCTTCGATTCAGCGCATCTGAAAATGCCGCTGACGAAATCGCTTTCAATGAAGTATCGATGGGACAGCTTGTTCACGAGGTCGACCCCGCGCCAAAGGCACCAGAATTTCCCATGCCTTCCTTCTTTTGATATGATCATCAACAGCTGCCGACTTTGACTTCGGACGCACGGGTGAGCAGCCAGTATCACCAAACCGGGGATGGTTGAAAGCGCCAGCCAGCCTGCTCATTGTCAGAGCGAGACGTACCCAACATTGTTTAACGACGGATTATTTATTCACCGGTGCTTGACCGACGAATACGATTCAACTGACAGCCAGACATTAAACATAAGGCCATCATTATTCTCGTGTCTGGCTTTGCTTCGTAGCGCTATAATGCCGTTTTGGGGATTTTAACCAGAACGAAGCGTTCAATGACAGGTGTTATCATCGGCAACAATAAAGACTTTGCGAAAGCACCGGAGGCTGGTGCTTCATCAGCGTGCCTGGTGGTCGGCGTGGTTGGTGACCAAAGTGGTTACGGTCATCGGTCAGTCGCTATCATCGCGCGAATACTGATTGCGACATAACTTTCAACGCAAAATGGATCACCATGTCTTCGCATTTTGAACATACGCATTGCGGCGGGATAATATAGCTTAAAAACATCGAAATGATCTTTGTTTAATGTTACGGTGGACGTTAAATAGTACTGCCTCAGCCGGAATCGGCATATTTTCTGGTGAGGTGATTATATTTTCCGTGAAGAATCGTCAAAAGAAGCGGGTTTCACTGGTCAATGTGTGAGTCCGTTTTCGAAAACACCGTCGCAGATATTGCCGGATATGAGTGAAAGGAGTTAAGATACGTTGATCGGCAATATCCTCAAAGCCATATCGCGACGAAAACGTAATTGATATGAAATCGGCACCCATCGTCGATGAAAACAATAAACGAAACGAAGCGACGGCCACCAGAATATCGCTGCCTTACCTGTACAGCCGTTATCGAAAAATAAATTTACAGATCATCGTCGGTCAATATAAACAGCGTCAACGACCGAAAAAGTAGATCGTCATTACCGAACATAAATTGCCAGTAGATACGTTCCGGCATGATTCCCACCACCGCAACTTAAAATCGTTCATCATTTCTTTCATCAACCTGGGCGTCAGCAGATGGCGATTCGGTGGTTCACGGTGCCTTCGGTGTTGGCGATTTCGAATAAAACATGCTTCGTACTTTCCATGTCGAAATTGACTTCAGACCGAAATTGGTGGTTACGGTCCGTTCAACGTTTTCGTCGCTGGCATAGATACATTGCGCATCTTATTTCTGGTTTCTTTGTGGTTGACTTAACAAAACATGCCTTATTATTTAAGCGTCAGCTTGATGTTCAGATCGCATTTTTCGCGGGAAGTTAGTCTCGATGGTATCTTCAGCGTTCTTCCTTCCACTTCAAAGTTGGTGAGCATTTTATCAGCAGTGGTGACATTGTACAGGCCTGTCATCGCGCGGGGATATTTATCTCAATTCGTTACCAGGCTATCACGAAAGAGATTGAAAAGTTAGCTCAAATGTAAAATGGGGTCGGTAGTTCCTTACTTTCGTGGTAAACAGTTTTCAGCCTTTTTAGATCTCGTACCGAAAAGGACTTTTTACATTACGCCTGGAGGTACAGCCACGGTCTCCGTCGCCGTCAATTTAAACTGAATATCCAGCGACAAAGAACGATATTGGAACAAAATTGGTCGGTTAAATCGGGTTTCTTTGGAAAAATCAATAATTCAACGAAAATGAGGTAAAAAGATGACCGCCGCCACATTGAAATATTCACGGGTAATGATGTTATTACGAAGTTATTAAATTGGCAGCAATAATAACAGGTAAAGATATATGATAGTAAAGACGACTTCCACCGTTTCCAGTGTAATACAGAGATTTGTGTTCAAGCGACGCTAACAGTGTTGATAATAGCGCAATGGTTGGCCGTGCGGTTATCGTGATAAAGCGGTCTGATAAGTATCACCATATTAGAAATCATTACAGCATTTTCAGCGACATGGAATGTCAGAATAACAAATTGAATACATAAGTTGCAATCTACATCACTGATCATATGTAAAACAACTGACATTTAAAATATATGTCATTGATCAATCAAAACGATTATAATTGGCACAAATATAGTATTCTGTTCACGGAAAGAATTGTACCCATAAGTTCCCCATGAAGACAATTTCATGTAAAATTTATTGCATGCAATATTTGCCTTATAATAACGACAAAACACAAAGGGCACGGAATTAAATATATTGGCTATTGTTGAAAGTTATAAAACATTAAAAATAATGTTACATTTATCTCATCATACATATTACACAGTCCGAATTAGACAAAATGGTTTAAAGTACTTTCTTCACCCCTTTCAATACACCTGTCCACTTCTTTTCAAATCACATATGGAATAGTAAGGAGGACCAGATATATTCACCAATGCCTTCACCTGTTAAGAAAACAACATGGTTTGTGAGGTTGTGAATAGAGGGCATCATTGGTTTTGAATCAACATTGACCCACTGTGCTCTGTCTCTGGTCTAAAAACATTGTTTGGCAAGGTGAAAATGTCACACAGTTGTGTCCTTCTTCCTTTGGTCCATGTCGGTAGCAAAAGTACTGTAAGTGGCCATGGTCCCTAGTATGGTGATGTACTATCAGTTGCTGGCGATCATTAGCCCTTTTTTATTGTATTGCGCTTTATTGTCATATATGTTACTGAGTTAACGTGCTAGTTTTAAATCTCTAACTGTGTTACTGCCCTTAGGGGTGGGGGTTGGGGTGTCACACTTTATCATATATCTTACCTGTTATTAACATATGAACCTATTAAGCCATGATATTGCTGACATATTGCCGATGTGTGTGAATTCTCCATCGTAAGGGATAGATATTTCAATGTGAAAACAGTTAAGAATCTTTTTACCTCTGTTACTTTTCATTTAATTATTGATTTTTTTAAAGAAATTGATTTAATTGATGAATTTTGATTAATATGTTCTGTAGATAGCTGTATTTTACTGATTCGTAGTTTAGATTGGTAACTCAGACGGTTAGTGGCTGTACCCTCAAAGGGGGTACAAAGTATCATAAAAAATTACTGTCGTCCTTCGAGGATACGTAAGTCCCAAAACTTTTAAAGTAAACTTTAAACTTACCACATTTTTTAAAGTAGAATTTCTGTTATTTTACATTTAGGCTAACTTTTCCCACAATCGCCAGCTGCTGAAGGGGTGGTGTAAATCCAACAAGAAGACAAAGTCATCAATATCCCACGCAATGGCAAAATACTCTTCATGAATATGTCTACGAGTTACTATGTCAAATGTTTTGGCGTGTATATAACTAAGTGGAAGGAGAGTACTGAAAGGTATCAAAGTTCTGCTACAGAAAGGAGCACTACCACCAATTTCAGTCTAAGTCAAATTTGTTGCCATGAAAATGCAAAACATGTTTTATTCAGAAATCCTAAACTACCAAAAGGCGCCAGTAGACCACCAGATGTATCTATGTGCCAAGTTTGGTAAAGAAACATTGAACGGTTTTAGAGTTATGCTCCGGAAAAGAATACTACCACCAATTTCAGTCTAAGTCAAATTTGTTGCTATGGAAATGCAAAACATGTTTTATTCAGAAATCCTTAACTACCAAAAGGCACCAGTAGACCACCAGATGTATCTATGTGCCAAGTTTGGTGAAGAAATAGTGAACGGTTTTAGAGTTGCGGTGGATAACTAGGGTCCATGCAGGTAGCAAATCTACTGTAAGTCCCCATGGTCCCTGGTATGGTGATCTACTTTCAGTTGTTGGCTTGTTTTTATATTGTATTGTTGTCTATAGGGATATATTTTTGTGATAGCGAACTAGTTTTAAATTAAGAGCTGTGATATTCTAGTAGTTTAACCGTCCTTCGATGACATGTTTCTATTTTTTCAATTTATTGTTTTTCATATTGATATAAATTGTTTTGTTTCATATAATTGTTTTCGTCACGATATGGCTGAGATATTGCCGATGTGACGTTAAATCTTAACTCACTCACTCACTCACTCCAGCAATATCACGGCGGGTGACACCAGAAATGGACTTCACACAATGTGGGGAATTGAACCCCGCTCTTTGGCGTGACGAGCGACCGATTTAACCACAAGGCTATATCCCACCGCCCCACCAGAATATATGCCATTTGAACAAAGTAATGGGGTAATTGTAACAACATCCACCGTAGCATTGGCAAAGGTCTTCAAATGTTTTTTTTTTTTTTAAATATATTGCTCCCATATAATGCGTATGATATAAAATGCAGGCATATTAACTTGTTGGTGTAGTGTCCATTTTTGCATTGAGAGTTTATATGGGGATTTCGCAGTATAATTATTCGCACGATGTGTAAAGCACATTTACCTTGTTAGTGGCCATGCCAAGCAGCAAGGCGAGTTCCCCTCCCTTTGAGATACCAACCACACCGATACCACCTTGACGTACACTTGGATGAGAGGCAAACCAGTCAACAGCATCCTGAATAAAACCAAACAAACTTAGTTTTGTAAGTTACACTCCGAGGTGCGCTTTCACGAAAGTCTTGTGACGCTACGACCACCTGAGCGACGTCTTACACAATGTCATAACTATTTAGACCGTTTCACAAGGCCATTTTAGTTTAAAATCCCCCAAAATCAGCAGCATTGCAAAGGCTCACTTGCAACAGAGCAAAGGCTAGAGGACACAAAAGTCATGGTAATTAACATGTTTAATTTCACAACAATTAAACAAGTTGGAATCCTTCAGCGAACCAAAACAGTTAAATAAATAATCATATGTTAAACAATGTTTAAAGATTACGTCACTCTATTGTGAATTAGGCTGTAGCAAAAGCACTTTCAAATACATCCCAGTTTAGTGTGCAAGAACATACCAGTACGTAGTCAAAGTCAAAGTCAGCCAATGACGGTGGGAGATCGTCATATCCAAAGAAAGGAAGAGCATAGGAGGTGAAACCTCTGGACGCCAACAGGGCTGCACGGGACTCCTTCAGCCCTCCAGTGGAACCAAACATGTCTATTATCCCGGGAAACGGACCTTCGCCTCACATTTAAGAAACATTTCATTAGCAGCATTTTCGTCACGAAAACATTTGAATGTTTTAACGTGGTTGAAGAACGAAACAAGTGGATGGTTACAATTTTACACAGCTTTGCACCTTTATACATAAATATGATAGCCAGTTAATTCAGATATGAAATCGAAATAATATTATTCCCAATTGTGTAACGTCCTGTGTTTTACGACTTCAGCCTTGGTGAAAGAAAACAATTTCAAACACAGGTTGACAAGTTCAGGTTCAGGTAAATCTAACACTGATGAACCTTGACAGGCCTGGTACTTACCTTCTGGCATGAAGAGAGTTCCCCTTTTGGAACCTTCTCTCACGACAGTCCTTCTCACAGCATAGTGCTTGTACCATCGTTCTACCTCCTCTGTTGCTAGAACTACTGGTGTGGCCAGCTGCAGGTCTTCAAGGGGAATGTGGTCATCAATTACAGACAGTCTGAAGACCAGAGGTGTCGTCACGTCACTCTTTCTAAGAAACAGATCCTTTGATATCCCTGGAACAGGCTTCATACTCCAGAAGAGTCCCATGCTATCATGACCTGTATCAAAACCCATATCCCACCGTGTTACAGAGAACCTTTACAGTGTTCAGTGTTAAGGTTTCATGACAATGCCTATGATGGCAACCAGTTCAGGACAAACTTATGATGATTGTTGGTTTGTCTGTGCATATGTAGGCACAAATATTCCTTTCAAGTGCCAACAACTTTTGGTTTCACACCTTTCCAAACATAAGATATAAATCCAATGATTGATTTGAAACACTGAGTTCGAAAGTTTTTTCAGCGAGACGTCCTTACTAAGATACAGATCTTAGTGTCCTGTAGTTCCAAATACAAAGGTGCCTGTATTTACTTAAAAAATTCATTGACAACAGAAATCGTCGCTCTTACAGGACCTGTGTCATGTGTCATGCAAATGAAAAAAACATAATTGAAAATCTGTTGGGCAGATACGTTTTCGTAGGCAACAAAAAACATTTGACCACCAAATAGTCAAAACGAAGAGGGAATCTACAAACGCAAATGGGATTGTGAATTGTGGAGTTTTTCTTTGTAGATGATTTCCAAAATGAACTAAAACACATCCCGAGGTAGGCTTGCCCGAAACAATACAATAGTTGGTTTCAGACACTGATAGATAATTCAAACTATATATGGAAGACTCGAGATATTCTCGATATTTATTTCTGAACCTGGGTAAATAACACATTCATTCTTTGTCAGTATTTAAGATGTTAATTAGGAGCAAAATTCCAAAAACCTATGTTTATGTTGGGTGAGTCTGTTATTCTCTCACCTTTGTATGTTCCCCCCGTTGAAGCATGCTCAGCTATATCGACAAGTCCTTGTTGGTCAGCTTGAAAATGACCGCATGAGCTGAACACTGCCTTTCCCTCTTCCACCCATGCCTGTACAGTCACTCGCTGTAGTGGCCGAAGATCGTTGACTTTGATGGAGACTCTTTCATCAAAAAGTGCCACAAGGGGATTAACACTGAAATATGCCTTACTTGAGTAAGGATGACCTCGGATGCTGATGTATCTCATAAGTGCCCTAGCATAATTCATTCCCCGTAATTCAAACATCACGTCCGAATAGTGTTGTTCTGAAGAAATTCTGTGTAACTGCTCACGAATGTATAAACTGGAGCTTTTTCATTTGAAAAAAAAGTTAAAATGCAAGCTGACTCTTATAATAACTATAATTAACAATATTTTTCAATGGCACTCCATTTATGATTTATGTTCTTGACAACATCTGTAATTATAAACACCATGTAATGGTCCTATAAAATAAAGCAGAAAAAGTGGAAACACAAGACGGGGTTTTGCCAATATTCATACAAAATGAATACCAATCATGAATGTTTCATGTCTGCATACATTGAAAGAAATATGTGCGGGTAGAATATAGTGTGGCCTAATATCACCCAAAATGTGGGGAAAACGCAAAAACTCCACCATGTGGGAGCGACGCGGCCAAACACGTCAGCATGACATGAACGTGCACCATATATAGTTAGACTATGAACACGATGGTTGTTCATTCGTCTGTCATCACAATTGTACAGCAAGAGGAAAAGGAAAACATGCCCCAAAGACAATAACTCACTGCAACAACGCCATCGGATGACTGCAGAGTGGAGACGCGGCTTCAACTTTCGAAATGATTTTCCGCGTATTGCTAAGCACCATTAGAAGACCGTTATCAGAAGCTTTGGTCAACACGGGACATGCCCAGATGCGGTCGACCACATGTCACAACTGCAGGGCAGGGCCCCGTTTCACAAAGCTCTCGTAAGCCTAAGATCTCGTAACTTTTCTCGTAGCAGTCGTACCTCCTATACAGTAGCATATGAGGTACGAATGCTACGAGAAAAGTTCTTAGACTTACGAGAGCTTTGTGAAACGAGGCCCTGAACAGGTACATACGGCCTCGTCACTTACGTGATAGACTCACCACTGCCACCTCTACAGCGACAGCAATACAAGCCGCAAGTACACGCCGTCCGAGATGACCAATTCGAGGCATCAGTCTGACCGATTAGCATCGTCAGTAACGTCAATGGTGTCCAGGACACAGAGTATGGCCTCAGCAGCGATGGAGACGTGTTTGTTTTATGGGATAATCACGATTTTTGCTACCCTGTATGTGTGTAAGTATGCGTGCCTGCGTGTACGTATATGTGTAACTTAAGATAGTTTTGTACATTTGCAGCGTTCGAAATACCTGCCTTCCTGGACGGGTTATTTTCAACACGGCCTGCCAGATTCTCAAATTCACCTGGCCGACGGTCGAGTTAAAATCTAGACATCTATAAAGATATTTTGTGAGCATGCAAGATTTGGTCAGGGCTGGCAAGTTTTACATCTACCCAGCCATGTGGTCTGGCTGAAATTACTGGGAGTTTCATACCCTGACATTTGTTACTCTTTTCCAGCAACATATTTACAACGGCATTATAAAGAAAAATTGAAGTGAAGATATAAGCCTAAGCGGAGTCGATATAACGTTAAATTTGCGGTTATACAACACCCGGTATACGTCCCCAATTCGTCAAACACAGTTCAGTTATCCCCATTGTGATTCAACACTTTTTATGCTGATTTTTCGTGAAAGAAATTCATTATTTAAACCAGGTCAAAGTTCCTCTAGGTCAAGATACGATGACATATGTCATATCACTCTGTTCCGTAAATCACAAATAAAACTCGTCTCTGCACACTTGGATTTATTGTTTTCTTCGGTACGGGTACATATATGACAGTTTCAAACCTACAAACTCCGATGAACCAATGGTTAACGTGAAATTGTGTGGCTTTCACGCTTCGAAGGAACACACAGACGGCCATAACATTACGCAACTGAACTGGTCTAAGGGAGTTACCTCATTACGCTACCTGTTTCACACTCCTTGAACTTACACCATCGCCAGAAAGTGTAGTTCCCTTTTCACACTTTAACACGTTTATTTTGTGCACACTGACTAAATCTGACAATGATGAATAAATCGTAATGTTATAGCTAAAATGGACGGAATTATCATGAAACCGCCTTCTAGTTATCAGAAATGAGCGGGCCGCAGCAATGATAATGGGCCAAAGACGGGCCATTAACGCAAATGACGTCCCAGCAGGTGACGTCACACTCCACTATGACGTCATAAATCTTGTTTCATGATCTAACAGTGATGGGTCAACAGCCCGTTGCGAGTTGTTTGAAGAAAAATTACAATTAAATTTATGATACTCTTTTTTCTTCTTAACACACATTCCATCCATTTTAGCGGGATAGGGGAGTTAATTGACCTGAAATACAATAGTGTAGGGATACATTCAAAGGTTTTGGTGAATCGGTTTTCAAATTGCGACCGTATATATGCTGATTATACGGTCGGAAATTCATACCATTGACCAATCAGAACTCGTGTTACATACTAAGTTTAATTAGATTTGTTATTTATGTCGGCAGGGCGTGGTTTGTTTCAGGTGGAGGTATGAGCGATTTTTACTGTGGCCATTTGCACACGTTTGTTTAAATGATGATTCTGTGTAAAAGTGCAGTTTAATTTTTGCTCATCGTTTTCATTATGTATTCGTTTCCGAAGCAAATATTTGATATTCAAACCGCGAACAGCTGCTATACTGCTGATGCGGCTTAAAGCTACATTTTCTCACTCACTTTAGTCATTCAATTGTCCTCCTGAGAGGGTACGTAAGTCCCAAAACTTTCAAAATGTCTTCACTTTCTATTGTATAAATTGTTTTCGTCACGATATGGCTGAGATCTTGCCGATGTGACGTTGAATATTAACTCACTCACTCACTTTACTCATTTACTTACTACTATCGAAAAGTGAGCAATGGTTCATGACGAAACCATTCCACATGTGTCATAGATGAGCCAAGGGTGTTGGGCAGAATCTAAATGGCAGTATTGATTTTGTTGATGGTTCTGAATTGCTGAGTGTCAACCAAACGAACTGTCAATCAAACAGAGTGAGAGAAAGTTTTGAATGAGAGACAAGTTATACTTCCGGATTAAACATTTCCCAGCGTTCTGGAACGTGAACAAGTTCTTCCAAACTGTTTATGTTTGGATTATAATATGTATCAGAATATTTATCCACCATGCACACAATATACCATTCGCTAAAATAACTTCGAGCCAAGTTCACTTGTATTAATTTTTCATTAACTTTCGGTTAGAATTTTGAAGTTGGTTAAATTGGGTTTTTCATGCCAATTCGTCGTTTAGTGCAGATCACATCTGCTAGCCTTGTCGAGTCTAGGCTCACCAATATAAGACTCCCAATTTCAAAGAGCTTACGGTTGTTATGAAAATATTACATTCATATGCAAACGACGACGCATTACGCACATTATGTATTTTTGTGTACTTATCAGTCAGGTATTCCGACTGTATGGTCGACCGCGAGCAGGACTGTGCCGCTCGGTGGAAACCACCAATATTATGTTTGTTTTGTAAGAGCTGGACAGCCGCTCACCTGTTTTTTGTACGAGCTGGAATCCCCGCTCACCTGTGTTTTGTGTACACCTGACCAATCTTGACAATTCGATTCATGTATTACCTTGACGTTCCTGTGTAACTAATCTAATGCAATTACGATCATTTGACTTATGATCAATGCCTTTACCAAATGTTTGTCAACACGTCAATGTCCAATGTATTTTACTGTATACTTGTACATCCAATATTGTCAACGCTTTTAAGGACAAAAGCTCCACGACGTTCAGGGGTGTTGTCATAGAGTAAACCATGTCAATAGGTTTCTGTAAAACTTCATATATTCAAACAACATAATTGTTTCAATAAATATCCAAAGTGCACCGAAATTCGAGGCAAGGCGAGGAGAAGGGCCCAGATCATCGACAGAAGCGGACGGATTGCGCGGCTGGTCGGGGCGTCGGCCAAGGCCGTCTCCTCACCATCGACTACATCGACGATGAAGAATCGCCGACCGACTTCTGAATGTGTGTGACAGTGACAGAGCGGGTCTCCATATCGGGAACATTGGCCACGAGGTCCCAATGTGCGTTCTGTCACGTGATTTCCATCTTATGTACCATTTCTACCATTATTCCCCAACCATAATAAACATGGCTGCTGCTGTCTTCAACACTACCGCTGACTTTTGTCTTCCATCTCTTGTCCACCATCCTGAACTACCATCCGAGAGTACCCCCAACGAACGCTCTTGGACACTGATAATAGATATACTGTACTAAACGACGTGTATATGCTGAAAGAAATGTTCTGAAGGGTTTTTCTTAAAAGGCACTTGAAAATCAATATGTCAAGGGCTTTAGCTTCCCAATGCCTTTGAACGATAAAGGTCACCTCGAAGGCGTCAGTAACACGGGTACAAGGAAGCCCTGGGCATCTGGCATTCAATCCATCGTACCCTGACGCGGAATATCGATGACGAAGAAAAACTGTATGGTGAAGTGGGATGTGTCATTTCATACTCCTAAAGAGGTTGTGGAGTTTATTAATGCCCACTACCTATGCACGTACACTTATACACGAGAATTGTTTTTATAATTTGGTTTACGGGTCAAAAGGAGTCATTTGGGTGTTTCTGTGTGAAGGCTACATACTGAAATAGAATGTGTAAACCATAGTGACCCTTTTCTGAAAAAGACTACCAAATACTATATATAGTCTGTATATTCTTTACAATTTTATTCAAGGAGGTGCTAAAATATTACAACGAATAACAGTGAGTAATGTCTTCTTTGAATGGATTTATCCGTAAGGCGTGCTGGAATAGACAGATACACAACCTAGATGTTTACACCACAGCGGAACCGAATTATTATCTTCCTGTTCTGGAGCTGGTTCTCCATCCCTCATGAGAGTAAACCAGTTATGTTGTGTTCGACAGTAGGGTGTGTGGAACTAATGTGGCAGATGTTTGTGGAGGAAGTGGATAATTCTTTTCCAAGCGTCCTCCTCGGCTGCAGCATGAGGTACAGGATGACCTCCCATCAGCAGTTTCAAGTCTATTTAGGGAAACACGTACTGGGTGAATTAGGGTACTGAG